CTTAACCCTTGGGTACGAGGAGCGGGTTGTGACAAAATCAAAACCTCTATATGGAATTGTGAAATAAAAGTTAAATGAAAGCTAACCAATCAGGATTTTCTTAATCGTTTAAAATTAAGGAAATCAAAAAAATTAGTATGAGATATTGATCATAAGGCTTCTCACTAAAAATCTCATTTGGCTTATATAAATGGGAGTATAAGATTCACTTTATATAAGTAAAACAATTCATTTTTTCCTTCTTTTCTCGATATAGGAATGTAAAATAAAAATTAAAATGGAAGCTAGCCAATGAAAATTTTCTTAATTGTTTAAAATTAAGAAAATTCAATAATTCATATAAATGGGAGCATAAGATTCACTTTATGTAAGTAAAACAATTCATTTTTTCATTCTTTTTCCGATGTGGGACTGTAAAATAAAAGTTACATGGAAGCTAGCAAATGAGAATTTTCTTAATTGTTTAAAATTAAGAAAACTAAATAATTTTAAAATGAGGTTTTGGAACTCCTACAAATCTTTTCTCTAAAATCCACATTTCCTTATATGTGAAATAACTCACTTTTTTCTTCTTTTCCTCCTGATACGGGATTGTGTAAAATAAAAGTTAACAATTGTTTGGGAGAGAAGTTTATTTCGAATCAAGCAATCTCAGCCGTTTAATTTTTAATTAGGTCAATTTTTAATTTATTTCGAATAAAACAAATCTAATCATTATATTTTGATAAAACCACTAAAATTGTGGTTAAACCAGTTAATCAGTCAAATCAAAAACGGTTCACCCTGTCGGCTAGGTCAAAAGACCAATCAACTTATACAAAAATTAATAAATTAAATTTTTTTAATTTTATTTTAATTTTAAAATTTAAACTTTCTTGAACTGAAATATACACAACACTACAATATTAAATGGGAGCATAAGATTTATATAGTAAAACAACTCATTTTTTCCTCCTTTTTTGATGTAGAATTATAAAATAAAAGTTAATAGATGTTTGGGCGGGAAGTTCATTTCTAATCAAGTAATCTCAGTTGTTCAATTTTTAATAAGGTCAATCTTAGTTTTATTTCACATCAAACAAATCTAGGCAATATATTTTGATAAAATAGCTAAAATTGCGGTTAAACTAGTAAATCAGTCAAATCGAAAACAATTTAGCCTAGTCGGCTAAGTCAAAAGACTAACCAATTTACAACCAAATTAATTAACTAAAATTTTTTAATTTATTTTAAAATTTAATCCATCTTGAACTGAAATATGCACAAGACTACAATAATAAATAGGAGTATAAGATTCACTTTATATAAGTGAAACAACTCACTTTTTCTTTCTTTTCTTGATGTGGGATTATAATTATTTTAAAGTTAAATATTATGAGAGTTTAAAGAGTTTTGAAAATGGTTTTGGAAAAGAGGTTTGATTTGAGTGGGAAATTATTGATGTAGCATGCATGCATCCCTCACTTCCCGAGGCCATTTAATTGCTTTGTTTAATTAATTAGTGGTAGTTAATTAATTAGTTTGACTGCTTTGGTACTTAATTAGCTTAGTATGTAGCTAATTACTTCGATTTGTAATATTTAATTAGCTTAGAATAAGTTAGTTAATTCGTTTCAATTGTTGTAATAATTAGTTAGCTTAATTAGCGTAGCTAATTGGTTAGCTTATTCATTCTGACCCTCCTTCACGAGGTTGTCATGTTGTAATAAGTGTGCGTGCGTGTGTGTATGTTTTCCAACCCCACGTCTTTCTCCATTTTATTTAATCACTTTCGATGGTTAGATAGGGATCATTTTCAATTAGCATATCTTATCCTTACATGTTTGCATTCATTCAGCACATCATTCAAACTGCATTGCACTTTCAATACTTCTTTGGATATGTGTTTAATTGCATGGTTTTCAAATTGATTCATATGCCATATTAATAGCCGAGCCTATTAAATGCATATTGCATGTGTTGCATCAGACACTTAACATAGTTAGGATCATGCATTTTTCTAACTAGTTTCTATTTTGGCTTGGAGTACTTGGTAAGTTTTTATGCTTTAGCATACTTGCATGAGTGTGATTGTCATGTTGCCATGTTTCGCATGCTTGCTATGAGGCAATGTGCTTACTTGCTAACCTACATGAATGCCTGTGAATGAAGGCTTATTGTTTGAATTGGAATAATTCAACAAATGTAAGTTTTAAGCCCACTTTGTTAAGTGACAAATCATGTTCTAAGCTCACTATGTTTGGTGGCAAATTTGCATTTTTAAGCCCACTTGAGATGGCAAATTCAAATCATTTTCGCAAACAAACATGAGTTGAATTATTCCAAATTAAGCAAGCTAGTCTATACTTGCATGTGCGCGTCACATAGTAAAGGTAGTTTAATAATCAGAATAAGAATACATAATGTTCATAAAACATCATATAATGATTAGTAGAGGCCGATCTTTGATCGGGCGAGCGGGGGGGCTCATTTCAGGACCTTCCCCTCTCGTACCTAAGTTCCCGAGCCGAGACAACTTTGGTGATGACTGACACGTGGCCTTTGGCACAAGTCAGGGTTTTCTAAATTCCTCAAAAATAAAATATTTAGGTGGCGATTCTGTATCTGGCAAAGTAGTCCAATTTTGGTATTATTTGATTTAAAATCAATTTTCCAAAAAGGTTTGCCGGATTTGGACTCTTTGGTGTTTATCAGTTTCACATTGCACTTGTGAGAGTAGATTCAGAACCGCGAGAGTCCGAACTGTGAGGCCTTTCATTTTAAACTTTTCCGAAAGGTGGGGCGCGAGAAAAAGGCGAGTCCACACCCGGCCCAAGGCGGGGTCATTGGGCCTGGGCTTGGGCGGGTCTGAACATTTGTTTTTGTTTTTGTGTTTTTATTTATTTATTATTTTTTTTATCAAAATTTTATTATTCTTCACTAAAAAATATACTGGGCTTTGCCCGGGGCGGGCTTAAGCGGGCCGATGGGTCGAGTCAAACTCCAAAATGATGGCCTATGCCCAGGGTCTCGAACTGGGCTCAAGCCCGTGCTTAAACGGGGCAGGCCCACCCCAGGTCATCCACGGGCCGCGGGCTATTTTTACACTTCTACTCTTGACCCACTTGACCGTTGAAGTTGTTAAATGAGAGGTTTATTAAAAAAAAGACTGTCATTTTGTTATTTGACAAATCAATGTGATTCAATGAGTGAAGAACCAAAATCGGTTTTGAATTTCCTTCGATTTTGTTGCTTAAGATGTTAAGATATTGAAGATTACTTAGATTACTAAAGCAAGATTTGAGATCATAAGAAATAGACCTATGAGGCCATGAATCTGGATCAACAACTACCACCTCGAACTTCAGATTTTTAAAACAAAGAAAAAAATCTCAGGTAGTGTTTGGTAGAGTTTTGTAAATGTGATTTGAGAGTATGAGTTGTATTTTGAGTTTGTGTGTTGTGGAATTATGATTTGAGTGTAGAAAATTTGTTTGGTAAAGAGTTTTGAAAATGGTTTTGGAAAAGAGGTTTGATTTGAGTGGGAAATTATTTCTTTCTCTTTGCTTTTTCTATATGTGATACAAAAATTTATAACTCATAACTAAATATACAATTGAAAATTATTTTAAAGCACATAAAAAATTTAAAAAATTTCAGAAAATATTTTTCCCGATTATGTAAATCAATTGCAAAAAAAAAAAAAAAAAAAATATCTGGAAATCAGCCGGACATCCGGGTGGACATCCGGGTGGTCTACCGGGTGGTCATCCGGGTGGTCTTCCTTTGGACAGAAAACACGCCTGTGTGCACAAAATTCTCTGCAGAGAGTGTAGAAAATTGATTTGAAAACGTAACCAAACATCATGCTCCAAAACACACATAGAAAATTGATTTGAGAATACAAACAAACAGAGCCTCAGATTTTCGTTGTAGTCTTTCGTTTGGTTGGGTTGTGTGAGTTTAGACCCTCGCCGCTGTCGTGACCCTCATCTTCGTCTTTGGTTGTGCTTTAGCTCTATATTGTTTGAAAACTTAAAGAGAGAAGAAAATAGGGGAAGAGGGGGGAAAAAAAAAAACCCAAAAAACAATGCCGCTTAAGTACCACAACAAGAAGTGTCGCCAGATGTCATGGCAAAGTAGGGCTGGGCATAGGGTTATTCAAACCGCTCAACTCGAACCGATCCGTATATAAATGAGTGGTTTCATAGACACAATGAGGGCGGATGCGGTTTGAAATATGACATTATTGTGGGTTGCGGGTTTTATTCGTACCCGCAAGAAGCTGCCTACATTTAGATTTAAATTTTTTTTTTTTAAACATGAACCGTTGATTTCATTCATCCTAACTTAGATATTTTTGCCCAACAAACATATGTATGGAGTTGAAATTTTAGAAAGTTTGATGTGATTCATGATAGAGTTTGCAAGTTTGTAAATGTTTTTATTTTATTTAATGGGTTTGAATTGGATGAAATTTGAGAACAATTTATTATTATTTTATTATTGCATTTTGGATGAATGAAAAAGTTAATGAAGAATTACTTTTAGGCAAGTTTATGATTTTGAATGATTTTACTTTGATTGTATTATTGGGTAGTGAATGATTTGATGATTTAGTTTAGAATTTTGAAAGATGTGCATGTGTTAGTTTATGATTTTATTTAAAATTTAGGATTTTAAATGATTTGTTTGGGTCAGAAATTGATTTTGTTGTGTTTTAATTTTATAAGTTTTAATTCATTAATTATTAATGTCTAGTATTTTAGAAAATGAGGAAAAAATGACCCAAAATAAATATTTACAAAACGGAAAAAAATCTCAAAAATAAATTTTTTTTTTTAAAAAGTTCAATCTGCAAACTGCCCGTACATCCACAAATCTTATCCGCACAAACCACAACCTACAATGCAGGCAGTTGTAAATTTAATTTTTTCCAAACCGTACATATACATACGAGTCCAAACTACAAATCAAATCGTTCAAAATTGAAGCACGAGCACCCTTACTGCAGAGGATCCATACTCGATTACGGACAGTCGAATCCCTACGTTTTTTAATCCTACGACCCAAACCCCATGCCGACACAGAAAAGAGCATAACGGAAACCAAACACTACAAATACGTCTGAGCCGCTCCCATTCCCAATTCCGACGGTCCGATCGAAGATCTTCCCCCAATTTCTGTTACAACCACACTACCGGTTATTCTCCTTCTTCTTCTTCTTCTTCACAGTCTGTGATTAATAACTGTTCATCTTATATATTCATTCACTTGTATTCTATCTATAATAGACACATACCCACCCATACGAAAAAGTGGTTTCACTGACAGACACTGTCGCTAGAGATCATCATCATTTTTTTCCTAGGTTTCTGCGATAATGGAGAAGAGATCGACCAGGTCCAAAGACAGAGCGGACTTGCCCGGAATCCTACGCAAATCCTGGTACCGTCTTAGGTTGTCGGTGCGCCACCCTTCTAGGGTTCCGACCTGGGACGCCATCGTCCTCACTGCGGCCAGTCCCGAACAAGCCGAGCTCTATCAATGGCAGCTCAGGCGAGCTAAGCGTATGGGTCGGATCGCTGCTTCTACCGTTACCCTCGCCGTCCCCGACCCGGATGGTCAGCGGATCGGCTCCGGCGCTGCCACTCTCAATGCCATTCATGCCCTTGCACTCCATTACCACCACCTCGACCTCGACCTCGACCTCGGTCTCGGTCTCCCGCAGGTACCCACTTCAATTATTATCCCTTTTATCACTTGGTATTATCGACATTGTTACTGTTTCAAATGTTGTTATGAATTTACTTAGTAAAAAGATTCGAGACCCCTAAATTTAACTACAATGACATGGTAGATTAGTTGTCTTAACTTTTGATTTTTCATAAACCCAACTATTTTATCTCTATTTAAATTGTGGGTTTTTATCATTCTTGATTAACTTAACTATATACTTGTTGGGATGTTGGATCTTGGGTTAACCAGACTAGATTTTTGCATTGTTTATGTTTTGGCCCTTTTGGATATGTCAACTCTTTTATTATATATATGTTTTGCAACAATTATACTTTTGATTGTGTGGAAAAAACGTTATTGATGAAATCAGTAGGGAATAGAGATGATTGTAAATTTGTAATATTAAAACTCGAGTAAATCTAAGTGCACAGAGGATTTCACAAAATGGGACACAGACCCATCCTTTGTCTCACATCAGTCTCCCATTCAAAATCTTGTTGTGTTCATAGCACAGCTGTTAAAACCCAAAAGTAGTTGGCATTTTCATTGTGTCACTCTTTTTGTTGTTCAGAATTTGTGTTTCAAGAACATAAGCCAATAGGGGTTGGTCTGCTATTCTTTTTTAGGTGCATTGTTGGTATGGGATTCGCTAGCTAGCCATTTAGTCAAGATGAAAGGCTTCTATAAAATTAGAGTGCTTATATTTCAAGATTTGTTAGAAAGTATGCACGGTGGCAGTAGGAGAGGGGTGCAATATGACCACTTAACATGCCCCTCCCAAGATTGTATACCCACATAGATGATTAGATCGTCTTGGATTATTTCATGTACAAACTTCATTTGCCATTTTTAATTAGAATTTCCACCATTTAAGGTCGTGGAAAGGTTGCCAAAAAATATTTGATCATCATAATTTTCAGCATATTAGGTGGGAACTATGATTAAATGGTTCCATTCCATGCATAAACTCATAGGCCATTTGACAAATCACAACGTGCTGTTAAAATATTCAAATTCATGATTCCTTCCTACTTTCTCTCTCTCTGCACTTGCACGGAGAAGATTACTTATTTTGTTAAATATTATTAGCTTTTATTTTTATATGTTTTCCTTTTTTCCTCATAGAATTAGGGTGTTAAATACATTATATTTGTGCTGCTAGATGCTCATTGATGATTAACCCCTTCCGATTCTCACTTTGATGGGACATTTATCATCAGCAGGTGACAAATGGAAATGATAGTGGATTTGGATCTTCTACAGTGCATGCAAAGTCCGACAATGAATTTCCTCTCTTATCAATGGTTAGCTTCATTGCCAAAAAGCATATACTATTGCTTCATGCGGGAGGTGACTCTAAAAGGGTCCCTTGGGCAAATCCTATGGGGAAAGTTTTTCTTCCACTTCCATATTTGGCATCTGATGACCCCGATGGGCCAGTTCCCCTGCTTTTTGACCATATACTTGCAATTTCTTCTTGTGCAAGACAAGCTTTTAAAAATGAAGGTTATTTGTCCGGTTTATATCATTTGAATACTTTACTTATATTCGTAAGTGAAACCTGAAAAGGTACTATTCTGTCAGCTAAAGCCATTTGTTTGCTACAGGAAATTATAGTTATGGATCAGGTTTAAAGCCATTTGTATGCACACATCAGTGGTGTGTGAGAGCACTGTGACTATTATGCAAACATTTTGATATTTAGATATTACAACCCTGGGTTAGCAGTCGATCCTAGCATCATATAAATTGTAAAAGAATGCATATTGTTGATTTTTAAATGCGTTGTATTGGTGATTGGGATAATTCAATTTTATGCCCTTTTTCATACAAATTATTTCCGTAGAAATTTACTTTGGAGCAAAATAAAGCATTTAGGCCAAAAACATTTGGGTAAATTACATTTTACCCCTGTGGCTTGGTCCAAAAACATGAAAACCCCCTCAAATTACATTTTACCCCTTGTTTGCTATCTGAATTTATCTTTTTATAAATCAAAAGAGAGAGAGTTATTTTTTATTACACTAGTTAAACTTAGGAAACTTAAAGGAACAAGGAGAATTTTCCCATTGGAATGTTATGAACTAGGATGGTGTCAGTTGTAACTCAGAACTTTAATGATGAATTAGTGCATTACATATTTTCTAAAGTTAAAAGATTATACATAGACAATAATTTGTTAAGTTCATTTTTACTAATTTAAATATTGGAGTGTTACAACTCTTCATACATTATGGGATTAATTTTCCTGCACTGCACCGTATTCAATTCAACCAAATGTCATAGTTGAGAATCTGAGATGTTACACATTTTTTATGTTACTGGCATTGTTGCTCTTATATTGCCAAACATGGACTTTAACACTTGTCCATTCCTTCTAGTAGTGGGCTTCATAAATAATAAATGTTTTCTTATGAACTTGTATTTCATAATGATGCATTCGCATTAAGTGTTATTAGAAACTTATATGTTGCTACATTGTCACTCCACCACAAACTTACAACACTACTATCTAATGTTGCCACTGCTCTGCCTTCATCAGTTCCTGAGGAGAATTGATATGTCTGCCATGTGCATTACTGTGTGAAAAGAAAAGGTGGATACTTGTAATTTTGATAGCTTGAAACATGTTAATAAATTGAGCAATGAGACTGACATCTTGACAAATTTTGTTACTTTTGTTACATCATATAACTTTCTGACTTACACGCTGGGAATATTGTCATATAATCAACTCTTGCAACATCTTAATGTTCAACTGGAATTTTCAACCTTTGCAGGTGGGCTATTTATCATGACTGGAGATGTTCTTCCATGTTTTGATGCCTCCACTATGACTCTTCCAGATACATCCTGCATCATTACTGTTCCTATTACTCTTGACATTGCTTCTAATCATGGTGTTATTGTGGCATCTAAAACTGCAATTTTGGATGGAACTTCTTTGGCCAGTTTAGTTGATGATCTTCTTCAGAAACCTAGTGTAGAGGAGCTCATGAAGCATAAGGCAATTCTAGATGATGGTAGAACATTGCTCGACACAGGAATAATAGCAGTTAGAGGTAAAGCATGGGAGGATCTTGTTATGCTTTCTTGTTCCAGCCAACCAATGATTTCAGAGCTTCTGAAGAGCAGAAAAGAGGTAAACATGGAAGGTCTTGTTATGCTTTTCAGTTATCAGTGTTTTAGTCGGCTCCAATGCACACATTGTTTGAAGAATTATATCATTTTGGTATGAGATATAATGATGATGCTTCAAACTATTTTAGTTTCTGCAGACAAGCTGCTGACAACAGAGTCCAAAGGCATTTGGACTCTGTTGTCAAGCCCGGGTTAAGGAGGAGGGTTGTGTGTTAGGTAGCCGACAGCCAACACGTAAAAAAGCCGCTCGGATCCCTTATGAAAATGAATCCTACTTTGAATCGTTTAAATGCTAGGTCGTTCCCCTCAAGTGACGCGTTGCGCCTGCCTCCGGGTGTTTCGAAAAGTGAGCAAGGGGCGCCGCATCGACGCCTGGGTGCGGTGAAAAATGGGCAAAGGTTTCCGCGTTTTTCTGGACGAGCGCGGGTAAAGAAGCTAGTCCAAGACTATAGGTTTAGGATAGCCACTTGGAACATAGGAACCTTAACTGGTAGGACGATGGAATTGGTAGATGTTATGATTAGGAGGAGAGTTAGTATAGCTTGCATACAAGAAACTAAGTGGACGGGAGAGAAAGCTAGGGAAATAGAGGATACTGGTTTTAAACTTTATTATAGTGGTAAGGATAGACGCAGGAATGGGGTAGGAATCATAATTGCCAAGGGTCTTGTGGAAAGTGTGGTGGCGGTCATTAGGAAAGGAGATAGGATTATGCTAGTTAAATTAGTTATTGGAGGGAATATAGTGAACATTATTAGCGCTTACGCCCCTCAAGTAGGGTTAGATGATCAGACTAAGAGGGATTTTTGGGAGCACATGGATGAGATCTTACAGGAGATACCCGTAGGAGAGAACCTGGTTATAGGTGGAGATTTTAATGGCCATGTGGGCATAGATAAACTAGGTTATGAAAGGGTGCATGGTGGATACGATTTTGGTGACAGAAATGAGGCTGGAGAGAGAATCTTAGATTTTACGTTGGCTTCTGACCTGGTGATGGCCAATACTATGTATAAGAAGAGGGAGGAGCATTTGATAACCTTTAAGAGTGGATTAGTTAAGAGCCAAATAAATTATTTCTTAGTGAGAAAAGTGGACTGCCTAAAATGCAATGATTGTAAGGTGATTCCTGGAGAGAGTCTAGTCTCTCAACATAGGATTTTGATACTAGATTTATGTTTTAGAGGGCAATACCAAGCTAAGAAGGATGGTGGGCGTCGTAGGACGAGATAGTGGGACTTAAAAGGGGATAAACTAAAAATATTTAAGAATCGAATGGATAAGGAAGGTACTTGGGACTTAGAAGGTGATGCTAACACTATGTGGAATTCGATGGCCAATTGTATGAGAAGAATCTCAAGGGAAGTGCTTGGAAAGTCGAAAGGAACGGGACCCAGCTCTAGGGAAACTTGGTGGTGGAGGGAAGAGGTCCAAACGGTAGTTAAGTCAAAAAAAGAGTGCTTTAAAAAGTAGCAGAAGGATAGAACTGAGGAAAACCTTAAAAGCTATAGATTGGCTAATAAGGAGGTCAAGAAAGTAGTGAGAGAGACCATTTAAGTTTGAAAGTTTATGAATGACCTATACACTAGACTAGATAGTAAGGAGGGAGAGAAGATGGTATACAAACTTGCTAAGATGCGGGAGAGGAAAAACAAGAGATTTTTAATCAAGTAAAGTGCATCAAGAGTGAGGATTCTAAGGTATTAGTGAAGGACGATGAGATTAAGGAAAGATGGAAGAATTATTTTGAGAAACTATTAAATGAGGAACATGGAAGTAACGGCAATAGGGGAAGAAATAATCAGTAAATCGATAAACCAAGACTATAGGTTCTATCGCAGGATAGAAATTTTGAAGTGGAGATTGCACTTAAGAAGATGAAATCAAATAAGGCTTTAGGACCTGATGATATCCCTATTGAAGCTTGGAAGTGTTTGGGTAAAAAGGGAGTTGCTTGGTTGACTAGGTTGTTTTAGTAAAATTTTGTTGACTAGGATATGCCAGATGAGTGGAGGAAGAGTATTTAGTGCCAATCTATAGAAATAAAGGTGATGTCCAGAATTGTAACAACTATAGAGGAATTAAGCTAATGTGTCATATAATGAAAGTGTGGGAGAGGGTGATGGAACGTCGATTGCGAGACATAACAGAGGTGTCAGAGAAATCAATTTGGGTTTATGCCTGGTAGGTCAACAATGGAAGCGATCTATCTTTTGAGGAGAGTAACAGAAAGTATAAAGAAAAGAAAAGAGACATTCATATGGTGTTTTATTGACCTTGAGAAAGCAAATGACAGAGTGCCCCGAGATATAATATGGTGGGCGTTAGAGAAGAAAGGGGGTGACAAAAGGCTACATTGACGTGATTAGGGACATGTATGAAGGGGTGGTGACCACTATTAGATCGCCAGCTGGAGAAACAAATGAATTTCCTATCACTGTAGGGTTACACCAAGGATCTACCTTAAGCCCTTATCTTTTTGCTTTAGTTATGGACGAGTTGACGATAAATATTCAGGATGACGTGCCATGGTGTATGCTTTTTGCAGACGATATTGTGTTAGTGGATGAGACTAGAGAAGGAGTTAACACAAAGTTGGAGATCTGGGAAAAGCTCTTGAATCTAAAAGGATTTCGGATAAGCAGAACTAAGACAGAGTACATGGAGTGTAAATTTTAGTAACAGTAACAATGAAAGCAGAGGAGAAGTGAAGATTGAGAACCAAGAACTGCCTAAGAGTGAACATTTTCGTTATTTAGGGTCAATTATCACAACAGGCGGGAGAGATTGATGCAGATGTGGCCTCATAGGATTAAGGCGGGATGGTGTAAGTGGAGAAGTGGTCTGGGGTATTGTGCGATAAACGAATACCTACTAGAACCCAAAGGTAAGTTTTTATAGAACGGCTATTAGACCAGCTATGTTGTATGGGACGGAGTGTTGGGCAACTAAGAAACAACATGTAGATAAGATGGTGTGGCTGAGATGAGGATGCTAAGGTGGATGTGTGGTAAGCTAGACAGGACAGGATTAAGGAATGAGTGTATTCGGGAATGGTAGGAGTTAGCACCGTAGAAAGATAAGTTGAGAGGAATCGTTTTGGATGGTTTGTCATATTTCACGGAGACCAACAGAGGCAGTAGTGATAGAGATGCGATGCATTT